TGGCACTGTGAGGAGCTGACAGTCGAACAAGCTTCGTATATTTATTGTGCGGATGCTTTCGTGAAAACAGCAGGCCATCTCGCTATGATCTTTGTGCGATGTACAGTACCAGAAACAGTTCATGATGTTTGTGCTGTCTTCAGGGTTGGATTGGTTCCTGCAACATGTCAACAAACCCTTTGGGTACCTGGACCTGCGTGTATGTTGAAATACTTGCTTATGGTGGAAAAACGTACTTATTGTGTTCGAAAGGAACTATTTCTACTTTACACGATTTTTTCCGTTCAGACCCGTAGGAGACTCGAAACGATGAAATCATTGGGTGTTCGAATGGTGATCGAATTCCCTTTGAAAACTGGTCTCGTATACGCATCGTTTGAAGATTCCTTTTTACCAATCCGCCGCCGCCGGCGGATTCCGCCGGGGTCCGTGCAGACCTTTGCGATCACACCTGCTGTGAACCAGGCTCCGAGCCGGCCAGTGGGGCGCCACAGGGTGCCTATTACAATGATATATATATATATATGTATATATTTGGGGGCATGAATTCAACTTCAGCATGCCCTTTAGTGGAGGATATTCTTTTAAGATTTCTAAAAACACAGCCTGGCACCAGAGCTTCCAGCAGCACGATGCAAGAGGCTTGACACATGAACAAGCATATATTAAAACAATGCATCACATCACATGTAGAGGCTCGACGTTCAATTCGTAATTCGATCGATGACGCTGTGGCGCTTCTGCAATCCTCGTTCCAGGTCACACTGGCTGATTTTTTTCTCGAATTATCGGTATATCTGAGAAGTGACAATGCGCATGTCATGCCAATTGATGAATGTGCTATATAGCTGTGTGTCACTTGATTTTTGGAATTGGAGTCACAGAGTCACACGGCCAAGCCCACTCAGACCACTCCGCATGCTTCCGGATTCCTGCAGTGCAGTGCGTTGGGTCAAAGGGTGGAGCGAGGTTGGGAAGAACCTTGGTTGCCGCCATGATGGTACCTGCCACCCCTTCCTCAGAGGAAAGGGATTCTGGGTCCCACTATCCTCTCGATGGTGTGTATCAAGATTGGGACAACATGGCGGAAGTCCGCAAAAGAATCCGTTGGAACAAGAACCTCATCCAACATGTGGACCCGCAGACATCCCAACCTACCAACGAGTACGTCGAGAAGACTCTCGCCAACCTCCGGGAGAACCGTGTACAGTTGAAACCTATGTTCCACCGCACGCGGGCACATCAGTTGCAACTACCCATGATTGATGGGGTCATAGAAGAGATTCGCAACCTGTACATGGCATCCAAGATCACGGTGAGCTACGACTTTCTTTACCAGCAAGCATGGGCCGTCCGCCGGATGTTGTCACTGGCAAAAAACACCCTGCTTTACAAGAAGTACCTTTCAGAGGACCGATCCCTGTTTTTTATATGTTTTCTTTAAGACATGGATGGAAATAAAATACATCTGTTATGTTTATGAGTTGTGGGGCATGTCGCATGCATATTGGTTCGCATGGTTCGCTTTTCATGACCAACAGGATGATGAAGCACTTCGCGAAGTCGCAGCTGACTTGGGGATTGAGATCCAGCTGGTAAAGCGCAAGCGCAATTGCAGCCTGGGCCAGGCCTATCCGATCATGGATGATTCTCAGTGGGATGATCGGCCAGTGGCAACACCACAATCATCAGAGCTTGCCCCTCCAAATGCTGTGGCACCGCCTGCTGAGCCGGTGGCACCTGAACATGCAGTGGCAGGTGAGCCAGCCGCTCCTACACATGTAGCGGCTGAGGGTGCATCTGCTGAGAAACCGGTGTTGCCTGAGCCAGCGCCAGCTGAAGCTGAAGTGGCAGGAGGTGAAGGTGGACGCCAAACTATGCTTGAAGAACTCGCCGCTTGTCAGTTCAAGCCGTATGCCAACCAGCCTGTCATAAGACCGAGGATGGTCCAAAGACTGCTACGTCAAACACTCCTCACAGAATTTGAAGGCTTCCAGGTCTGCAAGCCATTCTCTAAGGATTTCCACGGAGTGTTCGAGCATGACATTGAAGGTGATCTCACCCGCGCTTTCGATGAGGCAAGTGGTTCACAAACTTTGTTTACATTTTTGGGCCAATGGAGTGCTGTGGCTGTGCGCGCACATATGCAAACATATACCAAATGTAATTTCAATCACTCAAACACATATCACTGACTAAAACATGTTCTTCTCACATCATTTGGGGCACTCAAGGCCGTGGAAGTTCTTGCAAGCTCTCCTGAACCAGAACACCACGATGATGATGCTTCGATGGCTGTCAAGCTTGTTGAAGTTCTGGAAGAAATCGAACGGTGACTGAGCTTTGAATTAGATCCAATGGGGTAAGATTTTGCCTTCCATCCAAAACACGCACGCACACAACCAAAAATGTATGTGTTGCCATCACTTGACCCATGCTGCCCAGGCTGTCCCTGTCTGCTGCTCCGGCCTTGGAGGTGAAGGAGGTGAATGGCAGTGAACTGGTCGGTAAACCTCTGGCAGAACCTGCGGCTGAACATGTCGAAGGCCCCGGTGACAAAGGCCAGGCATACGTCACACCGTCATGCCGTACACAGCTCCACCCTTGTACATAGTTTTGAGGTGAAATTGGTGATAGAAGTTAACATTGATATATGTCGGGCAAGTCTTGCTGGACGGCCCCAGGTTCTCCGCCTACACATGTGATGGAGTCCCTTCCAACTGGTGACAACACGGACACCCAAGTTCCCATTTCACCGGCTTCCTATGAGCACACCGCTTCCATGAAAGCCATGCTAAAGAATGAGGATGAGAAGTTGGCTGCGCTGCAAAAAGGTGGTGGTCAGGAGCGCGCATGTATGCATATGCTGTCACACCATGATCAACATGTATTTTGTGCATGCGGCATGCGTGTGAGATTCAAAAGCCTTTCGCATTGGTTTTGATTTATGTAGCCCATATGGCACTCTTTCGCAGCACAGCCCTGAAGGAAGAAGAATATCCGATGTCCCAGACCACCCAACTGTGACAAGGCGTAAGCAGTTTGGTCTTAAGGACGAGATCAAAGAGGAAAAGCAAGACAAGAAGAGGAAAAGGAAGAATGCGGCCAAGGATTCTGGTCGCAAAAACAAGAAGAAGGGGAGAGGGAAAGGTGGTAAGGGGAAAGGAAAAGGCAAGAAGACAGGGAAAGGGTCAGGTAGCAGAAAAGGCAAAAGCAAAAACACCAAGAGGGCTGTCAACAAGAATCTCCGCAAGTTGCAGCGAGCTAAAGATTCAAAGAAGGGCATCAAGGCGGCAAGGAAGAACGCTGCTACCCCTGCTGCCCCTGCTCAGCCCAGCCCAACCCTTGCTGAGCCCGTTGAAGCTGCAGGCAAAGCAGAAGCGCCTTTGCAACCAGAGCGTGCTTCATCATCTGGGGGTCCCATCCAACGTGCAAAGACCAAGTTGTACGTCTCATCCCCCAAAAGCGGAGCACCAAAGACAAAAGGGAGGGCCTGTGCTCAGAAGAAGAAAGAGGTGCTTGAAGCAGTTACCAGGAAAGCTGCAGGGAAGAGTGCCAAGAAGAAGGAGGCCCCCCCTCCTGAACTCTTTGATCATTATGTGGCTTGCGTCACTGAAGCTTGCAAAGACTGTGTAGAGTCTGAATGCAATCACCCCGACTTTGATCTGACAGTCCCGCACGATTCATTCAAGATCTCACCCTACTGGACCCGGGGGCATGTGGGGGTGAAGGCTTCAAACGATTTGTTGGCTGAGAGCGCAACAAAAGCAAAGAAGAAATCAGGGAAGAACACCGAATCCAGTAAGAAGGTGCCAAAGTCCAGAAATGTTCGCCAAATCGCCAACTTCTCGGAACCGGGGTGCGTCTACATCAACTATGCGATGGGACAGGCTTTCGTCTTTTTGATGCAAATATTTTTTTTGCACCGTGAAAAGACAAAACTTTGACTTGCATCCGGTGGCCTTGCCTTCGCCACTGCCACTATTCCAAGGTCAGGTCGATGGCAAAGATGAAAGGCCCCCTGCAGAAAAACATCATCGAGCAGCATGTTGATGTCTTGAAGCGAGCCCAACGCAAAGTGTTTGAGAACAATGGATGGCGTTGATGAAATATCGCCAAGTTGTGTTTGATGTATTGAACCAACTGCAGCCAGTTCTTTGTCTTGTACCTTGCAAAATCATATAAAATCACAGTATGCATGGTTTGATTTGTATGAGGGATCAGTCTGGTTTTCCGGGAAGCTGCATGCTGGTGGTTTGACTGTTTGGCAGCTTGCGTTCTTCAAAGGAATGGGCGCGGCTGTCATTTCTACTATAGGTCTGCAGGAGCTGTTGTCACAGCTCGCGCTGAATTACGCTTCTGATATCGGGGCTTCATGCGCAATTGCCAGCCTAGGTTCATCGCTGGCAACGCATGCCAAACTCAAAGGTCGATGTTTCGGGGAGAAATGCGTCCATGCACTGCGCACGCCGGAGTGTGTCTGAGTGTGTTTGCGATGAAAATCCATGTTCTGCGCTTGGCCAGGTGATGGTTCGAGTTAGGCACGTGCACGGGAAGAAGAGCTTCGCTGGACGCCGGTCGACTGGAGCTGGCGGGGTTGCTCGCCATCCTTGCATGTTTTGAAGTTTTCTCTGAGAGGAACATCTTGAACGAAGGACTCACAAGAGCAAATGTTGTTTTGCGTTGAACTGCATTCATGCAACAAGCTGCAATGTGTTTGTAAGGCACTCGGCTCAAAAAATACTGTACGTGCTTGCTTGCAAACAACAACCTTTGCAAACACCTTAGGGCACACGTGGCGCGTTCAACTCTCTTGCTGACCTATATAGCATCTCATTGCAGCCATGAAATGTGATTTGGATCGTCTTGTTTCGAAGCTTCTTCTCATGTCCGTACCGAAGGCGAGACTGTCTATATGGGCTATCGTCAGAAAATAATTTACTTTTTTGTGAATGGAGTCGAGGGATGATAAACACTATGCAGTGTCTTTAAGAGAGTTACCCACTATCCCTCGGGCAGGCCTTCATCTTCCTGGTCTTGCTCGTGGCATGGACTACAAATCTTCCAAGCCTCGATAAGGCGCAACCAGTCGCCGCTTTCAACAGCCGGAAGACTTTGGGAACCCTCCATGGCCATTGTGTTAATTAATGCTTTTGATCTGGAACCTGCGGTTTTGAAGTTCATAGCGGCCTCACGCCCATTGCGCAAAGTCACGTGGGATCTGTGTTGAGATTTGTCGGGTCTTCGATATAGCAACAGTGAAATACATGTGCCTGCCAGGTCAACTACCTGGAGGTGTTCGCTGGGGTTGGGAATGTCTTTTCAGAGGTTCGAGCTGCTTCCTATACCGGTGTGGCATGTGAGCTGGACTTTGGGGAGTCTTTCGGGTTTGAGAAGTCGAAGAACCCATTCAATTTCTTGGACAATGCTGGTTATGCGCCCCCACCCTAGTTGTTCCAAGACCACATGTTTGTTCTTTTGACTGCGTGTCAAACCAACTAACCATGACCCAAGGCTGCTGATTTGGCTAGTCCTGAATTGCGAAGAAGATCGATTCTGGGCGATGTTTGCGAACCCTTGCAGCAGCTGGGTGCATTTGAATGCTGGCACTAGCCGACGTTCAATCCTCAATCCATGTGGTGATGAGCGGCACAAATACATAAGGGATGCCAACTGTTTGGCGTCAAGGACTTTGTCACAATCATAGACCACATGTTCATGGCCCCCCCCAAGCAATCGTGATGAAGCTGCAAAATTCTTTGCAGTATATGTTTTTTTGCCAGGGTTAGGTTGACGGATACTTGCACCACACATCTTCCCCAAGTCCTGCAGGTTCAGCCTCCCCAACAACCCGCATCCATATACCCTCAGCCGCCCGGCAGGACTGTGCTCCTCATGTGCCTGATAGCCTGCCGGGGGGGCAGCTTTGGCTTGGAGCAGCCAGGGTCAAGCCTGGTTGAACATTCGCTGGCTTTATAGAAAGCTTCGTGTAACTTGGGGAATTTGTTTGGATTTTGGTTTGGATTTGGGACTTTTGTGGTGTCAAGACTGGATCTTTTGCTTTGGGCCACCTTCAAACCTCAGGTATACAAGACCGGCTGGTGGATGTGCATGTACGGAGCAAAATGTCCAAAACGTTAGAAAATGTTTTCCAACAACCGGACCATCGCGAAGTTTTGCCTTGGCCGTCTGACCAAAGCTTTGAAGGCCAGCATGAAACTGAGCCTGAAAACGACCAAACGAACATCTTCTGGTGGCTATCAGGGCACCAAAGAGTTGAAGTCTTCACAGTGGCCAGACTGCATGAACGTGCCGTCACAGCCGCCTTTCTTTGTTGACACATTCAGATATTCAGTGTATTTTTGGACCCTCCATCATAGACACCCATCTGTTGCATGCATTTGGGGTTTATTCCCTTTAGCTCCCTCAGTATTGTTCCCAAAAGCTGGTTGCAACACGGAAAGGTTCGGGGGTATGTGGAGCCGCCACTGAGGGTGTTTCCGCGGCTCTTCGGAAAGAAGGTGGCGCACTTGATGCCGCAGCTGACCACGCTTGGGGAGGGCAAACCCTTGGATTGTGAATTGTCCACCCGATTCCCCGCACCTCTAGCTTTCGAGCAAGCTCCATGGGAAGATTGGAGTGAAGCCAACCTGCGAGCTGTAGCTGCATATTTGAGAGGGAACCGCCATTTGCGGGTGCCAGATTCTTGGCGGGCCGTGCTTCCGACACGATGGTAAGGGCCAATCTCAGCCAGCAGGAGCTGAGGATTCTGTTCCAATGTCCAACCCCAAATGGATCGGTTTGAACGTCGGATTCTTTTGAATGTTGGACTGTTGATCCAATATTGCCTTAAGTCCATATATAGATTGAAAGCCAACATTGAACTTGCATGCTTAATTGCTCCGATGGACCTATTTGTGATGGTACCCATTTGGGGGTGAGGCAAAAGATTGCAAAAGAGCTTTGGGGTATAATGCTTTATAACGATTATAAACCAGTGTTTTTTGGTCGGGCCCACACTTTTCCATGGCTTTGGTGAAACCCAGGTGCATACAAGCTAGAACTCCACCCTCCTTATCATCTCACAAGACCAAATATTGCATCACAACACACGGTTGGACCTAATTTGATCTATTTTGGAGATTTTTTTGAACTTGGTGTGCCCTTGTTGTTGTCTTATGTTTTTTTGAATTTTACACATTGTTACCGAAATGTAAAAGTTGTCAAAATTACATAAAATACATAAATTTGTTGTAATTGGGCAGGTGTTCGAATTGGGGTGTGCTCGAAAAAAATTATGTAAAATATGTTCGAAACATGTTGCGTTCGTATTGCGTTCAAATTGCGTTCAATTGCGTTCAAATTGCGTTCAGCTTTTACGTAAAAATTACGTAAAAAAACTGTCCGAAAGGTATAAACCATGTGTCGCTCATGAACCAACTGTAGTCCCTTTTGTTGTCGGAAGGCACGGATTTTTGTTGTCCTGGCTGATCTAAGAGTCAGGAATTAGCTGTGTGCAGGCCTACCTGCGCCTCTCTTTGCACGATTGGGATGACATGTTGCTGGCTGCTGCCCAATTGAAACAGGTTTGATCTTGCAGGAAGTCAGTTGGAGAGCTTCTTAACAAACAATCCGAGCTCACCTGATCCCCCACAATCACCAGAGTGGATGGATGTTACTGGTTACTGCTTTGGGTTTAAAGCATTTAGCCTTTTGCCTTTACACGCGTCGACCCGCAAGTGGAACTCATCATGTCTTCGGCATCTTTGCCCAGCCGAACCTGGTCATGCGGGACGCTCCAATCAGGCGCTCAGGCCTGCCAAGTCTTGGCAAAGTTGAATCTTCAGGGTGGTGATCTTCAGGATGCTTTGAAGGCACGGTGATTGAGAGCACCCATTCAAAAAATATAATTTCCAGCATGTATCGATATATATTGACATGCATGCCTGCATGCATAGGGTGCCAACCAGCTGTTGGCGGCGTTGAAGAAGGATCAGCCACCTGTCCCAGTTGCCTTGCCCAAGAAGATTAAGTTGGAACCGGGCTTGCATGTAACTTGTCATAACCCTGCATGAATGCGCTGTTAACACATGTGATTTGGAAGCTGGCCCAATGCAATCCCCACATGGACCCCTTCTGAGGAGAACCGACAGAGTCCAGGAACCATGTCAGATTCTCAATTGACGGTGCCAGCCGTGCCTTGGCGTCTTTTTGGAGCCAAGAGACCCAGTGTGTTTTGTGAAGTGTGTCTCTTGTTTCGTCTTTGTTCACTACCCCACTCAGACTGAAGAAGAACTTCGTGCAAATGCTATTGGAGGATCGAGTCAAAAAGGAGGAGGAGGAGGACGAGGGGGGCTTCTGATGATGACAAGGCTGCCGAAGCAGGTGACGACGATGAGGACTTCTTGATCCGTGACATCAGGTACAAACTGGAGATTCTCGGCTTCTTTATGTTTAGTGTTGCGAAAAAGTTCATTCAAAGGTGGATGAAATAGCGCTTTATGTTGCTGATGGCTGAGGACTGAGCTCTCTCTCAAAGACCGCGGGCTGAAGACTCGCTCAGTAACATGGGTCTTTGAACCTGTGACTTGGGTTGAACTAGTCACCTTTTTGCCTTGAGGAAGGGTTTTGTATATGTCTGGAGCTGTGCTTGGAAACTGTTGTGAGATTAGCGTGAAAAGCAACTCATTTTCTTTTTTGTGTGTGTGTTTGGGCGGAACATCGAACAATAGAACCGAGGAGACAGTGTATGGCAAAAGGGATGGAACAATGCCTGGAATTGCCATCATCAGTCGGAATTCGGGGAACCTCTTCAAGCAAACCAAAGGATGGAAAACAGGTACAATACATTCCGTACCAATGCTGGCTCGCAACTCGATGTACAAGCCAGATATGGCAACTTGGCAAACTCACAAACAAGACTCCCGGTGAACTTCCTGTTGAATCAACTTGCTTGTAGTGCATTGCAAAATCCAGGAACGTTCAACACACTCAATATTCATCCATCGATTACTCCTGTTTAGGGGATATCAGTGACTAACTTAGTGACTAATTAGTCTACTGTCCCTGTGAGTCTAATGTGTAAGTGTAGGAAGCATAAGTAAGGCCCCCTAAAGTCTGATTGAATAAAACTCGATTAAGGATTAAGTACTGACCAACCAAGCACCCTCCTTTGACCAGGAGCATCCTGTTTTCCAATGTATGTATGTTCGGGCTGGCTGTCCTGTGAGGCATCGCCGGGGAGGACAGGAATGCCTTTGCCACACCTGGGCCGAGCATTCACCGATGTCCAAGAGATGCGCCAAGCACCTCACATTTATTTTGGAATCTCTTGTTTTGCAGCCAAATCTAGTTGGGAAACCAGCACTGTGGTACACTGAGGCAGCAGGAGGAACAGGATTCATTCACGAAACGCTGAAGTCGTTTCTCCATTCCAACATCCAAAGCAACGATTTTGGTGGACCGGACCTCTATGGCTACGATGGTGCCCTGGCCATGGCATCCCTGGAGGAGACCATGCCCTGTCAGGTAAATGTGTCTTTGAGAGGTGTGTGTCTTGAGGGGGGCTACTTCCTTTCGTGTCAGGATCTTGCTGATGGCAAAACATCCGCTTGTGGAACAATGTGCTTGGACAACAGTGGTGCAATCTCTGGCTACAAAGTTCATTGAGGAGCCCACTACCAAGGACCGTGCCGAGGCAGAGATTGCAAGTCACAACGAGCGCCTCAACAAGGATGGCCAGTATCTTCTGAGTGAGTCGACACTCACTCTGTATAGTAATACATAACTATTGTCATATTGACAGTTGAGTTGTAAACATTGAATCCTGAACAGAGTCGAGGAAAATTATTTTTGCTCTCCAGTCATGTCATGTTCCTTCACATTTGGGTTGCCGGACATTCAAGGAACAAATATGCCGAAGCACCCCAAGCTGATGAGCCTGCAGCGAAACATGTCAAGCTTGAGGAGTGCACTGAGCAGCATGTCTCTTCTCTGAAGAATGTGAAGCTTGAATGACAATCATTGCTGCAACAATACTGTATGCTCTTTTCTTGTGCTTCCGTGTTCGTTTGCCCGCCAAAAAAACGCACAAGGAAAAAGTTGGCTTTGAACAACATCTGCGATCTTATTTTGGGTGGAGAGAGTGGAGATGAGCTGATTCTGAGCAGCAGGGGCCGAAATCAATTCCTGGATAAGAGAGAATTGCTGCATGGCCCAAACGTTTGATTTGTTTGTCCCAAGTCCTATGAGCCTGAAGTCGTTCCACTGTAGGTTGAATCTCCAACAGCTCAACAGCTCCAGAGAAGAAAGTACGTCAAACGAAGAAATAAATTGGAAAAACACACACAAATCCATACTTGTTTTAGGAGTGAAATGTGGTCAATGCTGTCAATGCTGTCGCACACGGTCGGACCGTGCGGGCGCGCCTCACTGGAACCTCCCCAGACTTCCCAGGGCGGATGCTTCCACTTCGCTGGTGGGCCCTAAGCCGGCCGGTTTAACCGGTTCGAGTGGCCGATGAAGAGCTCACTGGTGGCGTGTGAGGCAGCGCTGCCTGAGACCCAGCAGGCCTTTTTTACTACTAGGAGCAAAGGACGCTACTAGGAGCAAAGGGCATCGCTACTAGGAGCAAAGGACGCTACTAGTAGCCCCTGGCCTTACTACTAGGAACAAGGTTGGCTCCTAGGAGCAACTCTTTGCCGTGTAGGAGATGTAGCTAGCAGCTAGTAGGCGACAAGCCACTACGTTGCTGACGCAGGAGGAAGAAGCTTCGACGGATGCTGTTCACCATGTTGAAATAAGTTATTTCAATGTCCACCCCTCGTAATGAGTAGTTAATGACCCTGTGTAGGAGGATTGTCACTTTTGTTAAAACACATTGGGTACCGTAGATGTCTTGACTGAATGCTACTAGTTTGGAGGCCATCGAAATTAGGTTGGAGGCAATTACTATTAACAAGAAGCTACTAGTAGCAAGGTGCCTTACTGAATGCTAAAGCATGCTAAAGCTTGACATCCGACCGCGCAAGTCAGGCGACTTCTTAGATCCTGACCGTTCACGCCTCTGGAGTGGTTTTGCAAAATGCCAAGCAGAGACTCACCGCCTGGCGCTGGGCTTGCCCGACGCAAAAGACAAAGCTTCTTGTCCTTAGTAGCAAGAATGCTCCGTTCGTAGCGATGCCAGGTGCTACTAGTAGCGATGCCCTTGTTCCTAGTAGCTTCTTGTTCCTAGTAGTAAGGCCAGGAGCTACTAGCGGCGTCCTTGCTCCTGGTAGCGATGCCCTTGTTACAAGTCTAGTTTTAGAAAGTCGAAAAGAGTTCTATTGAATTCCATCGAACAACTCCTGATCGGGGAAGCAAGAACCGGCTATCCGCAAAGCTTTATACACGATCACAGGAATGTTCACACATCCACGGATGGCGCGTGTCAGTGTATCTCCCCGCAGTCCAAACTCGCCAAACCCACATCAAACTCACGAGGCTCATGAGGGACAAATCAGGGACGGGAACTGAAAAAGTCGAACCCTGTACTCGATGACCAATCTGGAAATGATCTCAGGCTACTAGGGTGGAGACCTAAAGAATCTTTTCTTACAGTCTGTTTATATACTTTTCGGTTGGAGGCCATCGCTTTCAAATGATCTCAGGCTCCGCAATTTTCGTGATGCCCCATGAAGACGGGTGTTCCAAACTCTCCAGCATGGGCGTGCCACCTGCTTGCCATCTGGCCGTTGCCTTCTGGCCATGTTTTTTGGTTCTTCATGTTCTTTATGTTGCCATCTTGCCTTTCACCAAGAGACTCTGCCCGCCGATCTCCCAAGCTGAAATCCAAGGCCCGGGCCGTCTGTTTTGCATCAAGCCAAATATATCCTTGCCACCTAGGCCATTGCTAGTAGGTTGGAGGCCATCGCAGTCCGTGGAGAACGACGGAAACACATGTGACAGCCTTTGACGGCACCTATGCAGCTTCTTGAGAAAGCATGTAGCCAACACATGCAAATGTCTCAAGCAATCAGTGCAGTGTTGGAGGGCTCCATCGCTCAGGCTTGTGTCTTTACAAATTTATTCCTCTCCACCCTAGTAGCAAGGAGCCCTTAGTAGCGTCCTTTCTCCTAGTAGCGATGCCCTTTGCTCCTAGTAGCGTCCTCTGCCCCTCCAGGGTCCGGTGCCTCAAAGGCTTGTGTGCACTCGGGGACGCGCTTTGGGTCTCCCCTTGCCGCCCTTGCCCCGTTTTTCTCGAGGCCTAAACTTGTGCACGCGAAACGTCGTGAGCGGGCCCTCGCTGTTAGGGTGGAGGTCATCGCTAGTAGGTTGGAGGTTTTTCTTGTTTTTCGTTTTTTTTCCCGTAAGAGAAACTCCTCCTTCGCAGACTGGGACGCCCGCTGCTGAGGGTGACATTGCCCCAGGGCTGCTTTCGTAAGCTTCGGGTCCACGGCCATGGATCGCCTCTTTCTTTGTCTGCCTTTCAACAAACAGAAGGTATGAATGCACACAAAGATGGTCGGTGGTTGGTGCTCAGAGACAGGAATAGCGGTCTACAAAGTGTAGACAACATGTAGGTTGGAGGCCATCGCTACTAGGTTGGAGGGCATCGTTTTTAGTTGGGTGTAGTTAAAATCGTCGACCTTGGCTACGTCCAATGGCCGCTGTGGCTACCTTCTGCGGAGGCTTGAATCACCGTGCAAAGCTCATCCCCTTCATGGCATCATCCCGGACAAACCCAACAGTACCTGTAGGAAAGCCGCAAATTGATGTACAAAGAGAAGAGTAGAACGTGAAACCACCAATTGAACCATACCCTAAGTCTTGGACGCCACGACCAAGCGCGAGAGAAGCTGAGTTGTTGCATTTACTTGATTTATGTTCTTACAATGAAGTTTGTTGTTGTTTTCAATCCTTCTTCCAACATCTTTACCTATCCCGACGTCTTCCCCAGCTGAGCAGCGGAGAGGATAGTAGGCTACCACAAGGCCGAAGATGAGGCACCATGCAACTCGGACCGCGGACAGGGTGGGTACAAAGAGGATAGTCAGTGACTGCATGATACTGCATGCTATGTTTGCAACTACGATTCCGTTGCAAACAAAGATTCCGTTGCAAAGGGTGAGGAAGCGCTCTGCATCAAATCACTGGGTCTTATGAACATGGCTTTCAATGCACGATTGCCCAGTACAAGGTCACAAATCGTTTAGTTTAAACCTTATTGAATTGACATTTATTTCGGGCTACAAGCTATACACACACAAGAAAAATTACATCAAATCATCAATCATCAAATCATCAAAATTACACTGTGCACAATTGGGAGCAAGCTTCCCGCGGCCAGCAATGCCTTTTGTAAAGCCCGGATTCAGCTTAGGATTTTTGAGCCAAAACATGAGTGCATCGCATGGATTCACTGGCACTGTCATCAAAGGTCTTACTGCAGTCGCCCTTCCAGAGCATCTGGCAGAACCTTTGGGCCCCGAGCTGCCGTAGAGGCCATCCTGATAGTAATCAGCTGGCCTCGAAACGCAAACATAGGTATAGTTCCTCCAACATGGATGGAAATGTGCGGAAAAAATGGAGCCCACGAACCCGAATGCGAACACGTTCAAAAAACTACATATGTCCAAATGACACTCTTGTAGGACACTCTTGTGGAACACTCTTGTAGGACACTCTTGTCGGTCACTCCTATGGGACACTCTCTTGTGAGACACTCTTGTACGACACTCTTGTGAGACACTCTTGTGGGACACTCTTACACGACACTCTTGTAGGACTCCTCGTGGTGCACTCTTATGGGACACTCTTGTCGGACATTCTTCTGGGACACTCTTGTGGGACACTCTTGTGGGTCACTCTTACAGGACACTCTTGTGGGAAACTCTTGTGGAACACTCTTACAGGACACTCTTTTGGGACACTCTTACGGGACACTCTTGTGAGACACTCTTGTGGGACACTGTTGCGGGACACTCTTGTGGGACACTCT